ACTCACTGCTAGCCAGAAGTGGCTGATAAGAGAATACTAGCGCCAGTGAGTAAAGCTCGCAGGCTAGGAGGTGGTCGAGAATACTCACTACTAGCCAGAAGTAGCTGATAAAAAAATACTAGCGCTGGTGAGTGAAGCCAACGGGGCAGGAGTGGTTGAGAATACTTGGAGAATCAGAAGTGGTTTAAGAATACTAGCATTGGTGAGTGAAGCCAACGGGCCAGGAGTGGTCGAGAATACTCAAGTCCAGGAGTGGAAGACAATACTCAAAGTTCTTCATTTCATATCTAGTAGAACTCTTCAGTAGAAGGAGACTGGACGTAGCTCAGTTGAGCGAACCAGTATAAAAATGATCTTATTGTTTTATTTATATTTCAAAAGAAAACTCTTCTGAATTGATAAATCATATTAAAATCTTCGTCTACTGTCTATTCCTCATTAAAACCATTTTTCAGACGAAACTCACTGCTAGCCAGAAGTGGCTGATAAGAGAATACTAGCGCCAGTGAGTAAAGCTCGCAGGCTAGGAGGTGGTCGAGAATACTCACTACTAGCCAGAAGTAGCTGATAAAAAAATACTAGCGCTGGTTTGGGGTGAAAACCATAAGTGTGGCCGATAAGAGCTGTCTTGATTGGCCCCACAGTGGGCGCCAAATGTTCTTACCGGAGATCGGTCGTAGGGACGATCTGCTGGGCAAGATCGGTGAGCCTCCTTCGCTGGGTACAGTTGCTGTTCCGAGTGGGGTTGGTACCTGCAAAAGAGACTCCGATGCTAAAGTTAGTGTTTGTGGATGTATGGGTCTCGTATAAGTAATGCACGTACCTTAGTGTGAATTAGGGTTTTTCTGGGCCTTGAGCCTGAGATCAGTTGTAATTTGTTTAGATAGTGGGCCTTGTCTTGGCCGATGTTGCCTAGCGCGTGTCCGAGGTCACTCCGCGCTGTGATGCCGAGCTTGAGCTCGGCATAACCATACGGATAGTACAGTTACCATATTATTAGAATATAATGTTTGAGACATGATTATCCTAAATATGACTATCTCTCTTAAATATTTGAACCTTTTAGAATTGATGTAGAACGTCAACTCGAACCAATGTAAATTGTGATCACCGTATTGGTGTTGTGCTTGTCGGGAAATCAGAATCTTCTATCTATTTAAAATGAAGCATATGCAAAAATATGCACATATTTTTATACAGATCATTGTTTGAATTCGAAAAATTTTGATGTTACGCAAATGATTTGGACTTTTATTTTGAAAATTTTATAGTTAGAAAATGTCTGAAAATCAGACTAATCCTTAATTAATAGTTTTTGAAAAGGTTCGAAGAAGTTGTCACCGATATTTTACTCAAAATATCAAAAAAAGATTTTTTTTAAAATTACTATAATGGCCTTCATAGCCAAAATTAGGTTCGGAGGTCGTTTACGTGTAGAGAAAGTATTAGGCACCTACAACGTCCTAAATTAGTACCATATGATGAAATTAACATAATAAAGAATAATAGTTTGAATATTTATTCCTCTTTTCAGTGGTTATTTACATGTTATTTTAAATTACGATTATTTATAATAAAAAAAAAGTAAGGAGTTTAGACCCCACACGTTTGAAAATGGTATGTCTACATGATTATTGTTTATCTATAGCAAAGTCATGTATATAAAGCAATTTAAATAAAAGAGAGAGATGGGAATTACTGAAAATACCTCCGAAGCGAGCTTTTATTGAATTCTTCCTTTAAATGTAGGGGTTAGGCGCTTTTTGGCAGTCTTTCGTTCTACAAATAACCCACGAGCACTCAAGAAATACAAAATATAGAGAGAGGAGAGATTTCTGAGCTAAAACTACAGAAAACGGGTCAAAGATGACAATTTTAGTCCAACTTCGGTTTCTTTGCACTATGCATGAGACACTTATTTATAGGTGTGAGAACCAACTGGAACGACCATTTTGATTAGTGGAAGGGTCGTTCCAAATTGGTTTGTTATGGCCAAAATTTGAATTTGGAATGACCCGTTTCAAAATCGAAACGACCCGTTCCAAACTACTATTTTGTTCATAAGGGGGCGAAAACAAGTTCAGATTACTGAACACACTTGTTACAATGGAGGCATGGACCTTCTCTCTTTTGAATCGTCGTAAATTCTAACTAATTGTCCATTTCAGGATTTCAGTTATCTGAATTTATATCATATCATGTGTTTGGTCAATCCAGTTGTGGTTCACTAAGTGTGGTAATTGTGTGTACTCATATCAGTTCAAGTTCACTGAAATCTGACAGCATATTTGATGACCACATCATTGAACCTTGTTCCTATCATGTGTGCTTATGTTTGCTATTTCTGATTCTGATTTGTGCTATTTTCAGCCTTTTCCACTTCAGACAAGCTCCCTCTTTGGTGGTCCAGTTCCCTCCTCAACTTCTGCAACTTTAGGCACCATTGGTATTGGAAATGCTCCTAGGAACGTGAACATTCATATACATGCTGGTAAACATAACTAATTGTACTTGAACCTACGAAATATTCAATGTCTATTAATTTTGTTCCCTATCAGGCACCTCTCTTGCACCAATTGTTTCAGCAATTGGTTCTAGGCCAAATAATGGAGAAGGGACGAGAAGTGAACACCGTAATGAGCCTGGCTCTGGTGATTCAGGTTCAACACGGGTATTACCGGTTAGGGTTTCAGCAACTATCCCATCACACCCTCCTGGCATTGGAGTGTCTAGTAGCACACAAACTGGGTTCGGTGTTTCTACTTCACAGCCACCTTCTGATTCTGCTTCGTTGTCGTCTGTTTTAGCTGAAATCAATTCTCGCCTTAGAAATGTTGTTGGTAATATGCAAGGAGATAACACAGTTCCATCAGGTGATTACCTTTTTATTGTTTCATTATATGTAGTCTTTGATATATTAGTATTGAATTCCGAAACACTTTTTTGCATCCATTCAGGTCAAATGGAATCAAACAGCAGGGGCTTGTCTTCTGGATCTGAATCAGGACCTGTTACAGGAAATGAACGAGATACCATGGAGATAAATGGCATTGGTGCTGCTGCCAGTGCATCCTCGGTTGGCTCTACTTCTGAAAGTGAAATACAGAAGGTAATAATTTTGCATGTACCTAATGATACTTCAATCTCCTACATGTGTTGTTTTTAGTTGACTGATATCTACCTCGATCACCATCAGCTCCAAACTGAGGCCGTCCAAACCTCAAGTAATGATGAGAGAGATGTTTTGGTTGACAAATTTGTTTCAAGTTCTTCCAACCAAGATTTACAAAGTTGTTCTAGTGGAGAAACAATAATAGGACCAGAAAAAGAACAAGATGTGACTGAACCTGTCAAAGCTGCTCCACTAGGATTGGGTGTGAGTGGTTTAGAGCGCAAGGTAAGCTGCTTATTGGTATGATTTTGTGAATAAGAAGCCTGAATTTCTCAATTGACGTACCATGCTGTGCAAATAGATTTCTTTGCTTTGATATTGGAACTCGGAATGGTATTTGAACTGCATGGAGCGTGTTGTGTAATTTTGCACATTATTACTGCATTAAATACTATTTTAGTCCCTGAAACATTTAACGACAGTCACATGACTCACATCAGGGTTTTAAATAGCACACTATAGTGCCACTATAGCGGTGGGAGAAACCCCTGGCCGCAACAGGGTTTGTTGTAGCTGCAACAGGGTTTGTTGCTGCTGTTGTGGATGCTTTCATGGCTGGAATAGTAGGGAATTAAAGTGTGATAGTGCCGCTCGCTTAAAACTTTTTTTTCGCCACAGCTTCCTTTTATCGAAACTTCATATAAAAAAGTAATAAGATTTCATAATAGTGGTTATCCCACTACTTTGCTATAGTATTTTTTTGGCTGGCCACCCTGTGCCGCTCTCCAGAAATATAAAACACCAGAACACGTTAGTCCCTGAATAATGAAAATGTTGATCAATCAAGTCCTTCTCAAGGATTAAATTGATGTAAAGAGGACTAAACTGATCAACCTTTTCAACTTTTTAGGGATGAAAAGGTAATTTTTATCTTTTAATGATTGATGTAACTGGCCCCAAATCTTTCAGGTAATATAGTATTTTAATCCATTGTCAGCAGTTTATTGTAAGCATCAGCACATTTGTGCCTTAGCACAGACCCTTGGTGGTCATGATTTGGTATCCTATACCTCTGATCTTGTGTTCTTTGTCACATTGCATAATTATATTCTTGACTACCCTTCATTAATTTGAATGCTAAAACAGAGGCGGACTAGACTTCAACCTCCAGGAAGTAAAGGTTCTGATGATGGATCAACTAGTTCTTCTGTCAATCAAAATCAGCAAACCAGAACAGGCAGTCAACATATATTGCAAAGTCTTGCAAGTCATGGATCTGCTGTAAATTCAAGAAATGCGAATGGGCCATCCCAGCTGCCCTTGCCCTCCAGTGATCGCCCAATCGATGTGGCTGGTTTAATGTCTCAAGTTTTACATAGTCCTGCTCTGAATGGTTTGTTGGAAGGAGTTTCACAGCAAACCGGAGTTGACTCACCTGATGGCTTGAGGAATATGTTGCAGCAGTTCACGCAAAGCCCACAGATGATGAACACGGTCAATCAAATTGTCCAACATGTTGGCAGTCAGGATGTGGGGAATATGTTTGCTGGAATGGGAGGAGGGCAGGGTGGTGGTGGTATTGACTTTTCAAGGATGTTTCAACAGATGATGCCCATTGTATCTCAAGCCCTTGGTGGGGCAAATCCTCCCTCAATATTCCCTGCTGAAGAAACAGAACTCCGTGCACCCCACCAAGATGAATTTTCTGAATATGGAAGTTTACAGGTTTGTATCCATTGCTAACAGAAAGACTTTGGCTATATTTCTGTACTTCCATGTTTAGTAATTTGTGAGCTGTTAAAAACCATAAATTTTATTTTGGCTCTAGATGAAAGTCCTCTTCCATTAGTATTGGTTTACTGGAGGCTGTAATATATATTACATTTTTTTTTCATTTATGGGGTGAGGTTTTAGTTTCCTCTTTGATAGAAATTTAAAATGAGAATGCATGAAGTATCATTAACATGTTGGATCTTTGTGACAAATTGACACATCTTTGGATTTGTTCTATGATTTGTGCTCACATCATGACTTAGTAGTTGACTTTTTGCTATTGTGGGGCTCATTCGTCTGGATGATGGTAATTCTAATTCTATCTTGGATCCAAGTTGTCCCTTCCAACATCCCTAAAAAGGATTTTTGGCTGCAGACAACTTGTTAAAATAATTTTTGTCATCCACAACAAAGCTGCAAAATAGGGGAATTATGGTGAAAAAAATTTGGGCACTATTTGCTTATTCTTTGTCTTCCTCTTTTTGATTTCATTATGTCCATAATATTTGAAAGTCTTCCTGCTTTACTACACTTTTCATACATTATAATTCTTATGTTCTTTTGTTGTGTTTACTTCCAAAAATACTTTCTTGCTCAGATTATTTTATTTCATGAATCTTTCAACTGTAATTCCTGTCTATAGCCTTCTTATTTGTGGGGTTTTGTAGCAAAATGAAACTTAGCTATATATTTGTGTGGAATATGGTGATTTATGTTTGTACACTATTTTTGAAAGATGGAACTGTTAAAATAGCTTTGGCAGCTGGGTAACCCAATTATGAGAGTTATGGCCATAAGTTACAGGCAAGTCCGTGTGGCCCCTGTAAAAAAACCTCCTTTTATGTTTTCTTAATCAATACTTCATAAATGAGAAAATGGAAATTATCATTAAATGAAGATAATAAAATTCATCTATTTGTTTTAGTATTCTACATCTCTAGGATTTTGAAATGTTGATGTAGCAAGAGTTGTAGTACAGAACTCATCAACTAAATCATTAACTTCCTTAGAGTCTTGTTTGGATAATTAACTCAAATTTAGGCGTGTATACATGGGGAATGAAAATTTTTGCTTGGCTCATGAGTTGGTCATAACCTGGCTGGCATATTTTAACCCTGTGTTTCATGCATGGCATGTATTTGTATGAGTATTGAATTGCATTACTTCCACCAAAATGATTTATTTTCCTCAGCAATATTAATGATTTATTTTCTAAGCTGAAATGCTGTTATAATGTGACTTCATCGTTATCTTCTCCAGCATGAGCTTGAACCACTGGCCGAAAGGATTGAGCACCTGAGACGCCCCACAGATGTTTTCCGTGCGGTAGCTGAAAATGCTGTCCAGCTATCTGGCAGTGGAAGTGCTTCTAATGATCTTCTGGATGAGTTATGCAGCAATGAGAGTCTTGCAAGGGTATGTGTGTAGTCCTTTATGTTAACTTTCCTCTGCGGGCTGGAAAAGTTGTTTGTTGCACTGCCTTAATATGCAAATTGCTTATTCTAATAAGTTTTTTCTTCATGATTTGTGCAGGAATATGTCGATATGTTGCGACGTGATGCTAGTCAACTGCTCGAGGGACATTCTGAGCCGGAGAAATTGTAATTCTACCTTGTATGAAGACATATTTTCTGCTCCATTAACCTTCCTGAAAGTCCTAGTAAACGAGTTTTTGGCGTGTTGTGCCCTAAATAATTAATTGATCTGGATCATTTTGACAGACTTCCAGATCATGTGTGAAAAGTAACAAACCACATGCCTGACGATTGTTTCGAATGGCCTTCCGCTGTCATATATTATGCCCTTTTGGTTCGGACAGTGGATATTTTAAGGATTGGTTGGGGATGGAAAAAAATTCAGCATTTCTGTAGCATGTAATCGTTTCACAGTGCTCATGAATTTTGTTATGTATGATTATTTGTAACTTTTTAAAAAATGATTAAAATAAGAGAAACAAAGGACGTGTATACTAAATATCAAGAGTAGACATTTACTCCTTTTTAAAAACAATGAATTCAATTTAGTCTTTAAAGAGAAAGATTATAAAATATCTCTTATTTATATTTTTGAGGGATTAAATAGTTAATTTCATATTAGGGATGAAAATATCTACACCCAATCATCGCTTATATGTTATAATATTTGTATTGCATATCTTCTGGCAGCGGGTACAATTGTTTGTTGACGAGTTATAGTTTAGGGGAGCTGAAAAATAGTTAAAATTTAAGCACAGTTTTTCTTAGATGGATTTAGTCTTCTTTAATTAGAATTTGAATTTGAGTTTTACTTTGATATAAATGAGTATCAATAAGATTTGCATTAAATTTAAGTGTATAATATTAAAATAATAATTTAACTAGTGGAATATTATCGATTACATTTAAGAAATTATATTTAAAATTTGTCTTTGGCTATATCCTCATATGGGAAAGATGATTTTGACCGCACGATTTTCCTTTATAAAATTAGATGGTCGGGATAGTTGTGTTTAATTGGATGTACAAGTTATTATTATATTTTTAAAAGAGAATTGATATACCCTTCCAAACAAAAAAGTAGATAATTCTCCGATCAAAGAAAAAAACTTTAAAAGTTAAAATTAATTAATTTATAATCAAATGAATGCTAGATGTAACTTTTCTACTTTTTGGGCTCACTTTTTCGGAAGGACTAGAATTTCTCTGTAAAATGCATATTAAGATGCAATAGTTGTGAAGAATATGATATTGTTTAAATACAAGTTTGAAAATGTTTTTAAGAGTTTATTTACTGAAAAATACTTTTTAGTTTTAGTTGATAAATTTTTTAAAGCATTTTTAATTTATATCCAATCAGATTTTATGTCTCTTTGCGTCACTTCATGGTAGAACTCTATTATCTAGTACAAAAGTAATTGTTTTTCATTTGATCTATATTATATTCTTTAATTATTTATAAAATATTTAACTCAAGTATATTTATATGAACAGAAAAAAGAAAAATGTAACTGAAAAACAAGGTCAAAAGTGTATAACAATATTTTAAATGTTTTAGTTGGATCGAACAACAATTTTTTTTTTTTAAAATAACAATGTTAAATGACACATTATTTTTCACAAATTTTTAATTTAAACATTTTTTCCTAATTTGATCATTTATTGTTAATACTTAAATATTTTTTATTTTAAATAAAAAATTAGAATATTGAAACTTAGTATTTTAAATAATGTTTTGATGGAATCATGCTTTGGAGTGCAAGAGGTGACATACTCAAAGAACCAAGAGGAGTTGGCTAGACATGAAGGTTTGGGCCTGTCAGGGCCCATCGGGCCCATTGGGTCTAGGAAGGCCCAAGTTGAACTTTTCATGGGCCATATTTTGTTATAGCTATTTTCATATGTTTTGTATACATCATGTTAGTATAGGTATCATATATTTTGGTCTTGTATTTTGGACCATATAGAGTAGCATTTTAGGTTATAGGCTAGTTGGGCCTAGTTTTGGGCTTCATGGGCCTTTGGGCTTTTGGTACCCAATATTGGGCTCATTTTCATTCTTGTAATTTTTCCTTTCCATTGTATTTGTTGGACCATTGTATTTGGGTCATTAGAGTAGGATTTAAGGAGGAATATTAGTTTAAGAGGATTAGGCAAAATTAGGTTTAATTTAGCATGCATTTAAGTTGCATTTTGAGTCACATGGATTATGCCACCTTGGCTGAACATGTGTGACTTAAATTCAACCCTAAATGCACACTAAATCAAAGCCAAATGCACCAAGCACCCATGGGACCGGTCATACACATGTGTGACAAGTTTTGAATTCAAATTCAAATTTGAATTCAAAACTTGGCGCCAACATGGTGGCCATTCATGTGGCGCCAAGTGTTCACCTAATTTTCGGAAGCTATATGTTCCCTCCTTCACCTTATTGTACTCACTTTGAATATTGAATGAAATTTGAGAGCCTTTGGCCGAGTTTCTCCCTTTCAAAGTCACCTTGAGAGTTCTCCTTCAAACCTTAGGATTTCACCTTTCTTCCTTCTCTTTGAAGTGAGCACTCCATTGATGCTTGAGCTTGGATACTTCCATCCAAGGCTTAGGCCTATTCCAATCCGTGATTCATCCTTCTCAAGTGCTTGAAGTGCAGTTCCAAGTCTCCTTTGAAGAAGATCCGAGTTAGAGAGAATTTTAGGAGAAGTTCATCTTTCACTTTTCCTAGTGTTTTCCATCATGTTTGTAGATCTTCTAAGTTATAAGATGTTGAATCAGATAAAAGTTTTATTTCATACTCAATAAACTTTTTTTTATATTTTATAATTAGTTAACTAATTATAAATTAAAAAAAGTTGATTGAGAATAAAATTTTATGAAATACCAGTTTTCTTAAAACATTAATAATATGAGTAAGTATGGTTACAAGGAGAGAAAAAAAGTACATTTTATTATTAAAATATAACTACAAATTTTATATCATGATTCATCAAGTAGTTGACACTAAGTCTAAAAATTTATACTAAATTTTATATTTTTAATAATTTTTTTTGTATAATATAAATTTAATTAATCCAACCATTGACTTGTGTGATATTATATTTATAATCATGCATATCAAATTTCATATGGTTTGAAATTTGAAATATGATGTGTGTTTGTGTGTGTATATATATATATATATATATGTGTATATATATTTATAAGGAGAGATCCGTTTACTCTAAGAATAAGTTTATTTAGATTTATTCAGTTCAATAACTCATGTTTTACATCAAATTTCAATGATTCAACCATTGAATTTAAAGTTTTTAATGCATAGATCAAGTCTGCAAATTTTTAAAAATTTAAAAATCATTTGACTCTTTGTTTCATGAATTCAAATCAATATATAAAATGATTTTATGATTATCAGTCAATTTGAATTAATGAAACAAAATCTCAAATAGTTTTCAAAAATTTTAAAACTTTGCAAACTTAATCTATGCATTAAGAAATTTAAACTCAACGGTTGAATCGTGAAAATTTGATGTAGAACATGAGTTATTGAATGGAGTAAGTATACGTAGACTATATATATAGGTCACTATATATTAA